GACGTAGTCTATCATAAACTGTTTAATGGTTTTGGATTCAAGAATGTGCAGAGCTTGTCCATAAGCAAGAAAGATGAATGCCAAGTGGGAATGCCTTGTTGTTGTTGCTTTTAATTTCACAAAACAACTTTTAAATTTATTGCGATGGCTAAGCTTAATGCATTATTGAGGATCAAAATAATTTGTACTATAATGCTTCTAGCACTTTTACACACATACACCTATGTGTAGGCATGCACACGGACCCACCTGAGATAATATGACATATTCCTCATGGTGTTTGAACTGTGACGGCTATTTCACCTGTCAATCATGTCATCCTACCATCTGCATATCTGCAAACTGGAAACGAAAGATCTTAACAACTCTGCAACTCTCACATTATCAGAATGGAATTGACAGAGATGACTGGATGATGGCAAGGTTTGCTTTTATCAAAAACAAAGCAAAGGTGATCATAAAGGCCAGCTTTAAAGGAATTTAAATGTGATTGTGGCAGCATCCCCACCCCAATGAAAAATATATCTTCTGTCCTACTTCTTTTGCAATATTTCAAAGATCTGGATGCTGGAGCTGAAGTTGGTAATCTGAGATCCTCAGACTAATTCTAAAAGTGATAATTCTGCAGGTGTTGAGTTCAGATATTTGAGAAGCGCTGCCTGTCCTTCCTATGGCAGTCCTCTTTGGTGGGGATGGGGGAGAAGCAGGAAGAGAAAGCATGACAGAAAAGGGAAATGTCAGAAAGTGGCAGTGATCTTGACAAACGATCTCCAAGGCAATATGGCCCCCGAGAGCCAGAAAATGTTCTCACTTCCCTTGTGCAAGTATCAGGGATGCATACGTAAAACTCGGGCATCTTAAGCTATGAGGCAGCAGTACTGATACTTTAATCTGAGACATTACATTGTTCCTGTGACAATTTACCTTATTACTTTATAAGCTGAACACGTGAAATTCTATCACATGGCATCATCAACTGCCGTCTAGTTGGTGAATCATCCTATGTCATCATTTTTTATCTCCTCAGATAGTAGGAGCTACATGGGGAGAGATGATGAGTCTCTCATGGATTGGCTGTCATCTGTCACATGCTAAGAATTAAAGAGCATATGTGAGCTCAGGCTTGGAAAATGAGCTCATTGCTGTAACAATAATTACCATATTGCTCTCACCAAAAATGGGAAGAGGGATTAGTGATTTGGTTGAAAAGCCCAACAAACGGTACTCTAATTAGCCACCTATGTAATCCAGATCATCTTTATGAAATCATTTTTGCTGCTATAATGTAATGTTGCATGATGGCTGGGAGCTAAATGGATATCCTGGTGAGGAGGGTGTTTCGACAGGAAAAGGCCCCTTAACAAATGTCCCATCAGGGTTCAGAATTGTGGATTTGTGACCACCTGGTTCATCGGGAAACTGTATGTCGAGCCTTCAAAGTGGCTGCTTCTGCTTATTATTATTATTATTATTATTATTATTACATTTTTATACTGCCCATAGCCAAAGCTCTCTATGCAGTTGACAGCAACAATCATAGAATCATACACTCAAGTCACCCATCCCACTTCTGTCCAGGCCTGACCCTATTTAGCTTCCAAGATTAGGCAGGATCAGGCACTTCTGGTTCTGATGCCCCCATTCTGCCCCTTCTTCTGGAGGAGGGAGCATGGAAGTAGTCATGTAGGAATTCCTCTACTGTCAAAGAGAGAAACTTACACAAACAGACCTTTGGTGTATAAACCAATCTATTGAGTCAGGGGCTCTTTGTACGACGCTGTTGCCACGTCTTAATTGCGCTTCTGATGTATTTGTTTTATTGTTGTTTTAATCAAGCTTTACTTATGATTGTGGGAGAAGGCTAAGTACAAATAAAACAAACAAAGAAACAAATTCCATGGGTTGGAAGCAAAATCTGTCTTCTGCAAGAGGAAGGACCTCACTTGTACCATGTCCTTCTAGCGAGTTCTTGGGGATCTGCCTCTCTACCCTGCTCATCCTTGATCATCTTTGCAGCATATTTAGGGCGCATTTTAGTATTCAATGTTAATCTTACAGTAGGTCAACTGAAATGAATGGTCAGTAAGTCCCTTTCTTCTCAATTTGGTCTACTCTAAATAGGACTAATATTGGGTGTTACTCATAGGGCCTAGAGATCTTGCTGAACGGGATGAACTGAAGTTCAGAGGGAACCCCGGAAACTGGGTAGAGGTCATGCCCATGAGTACCGAGTCATGTAATTTTCATTTCCACCAATGCCTTCTCATTTCCCCACACCCTCTCTGACATACACCTGCATGCAGACATCCTAACTCTTGCATCCTTCTGTTGATAAAACACAGTGCAAAGAGGAAGTTTGTCATGTTCTTGTGCTTGTTGGATCATGTGTGCTTGTGTGATCTGGCCCGTGCAGACCCATGTTCATGTATTGACACATGCTTTGTTTGACCCCTTCTAAATTTAGCAATATAGGGAGTAAGGAAGAGAACTAACAGAAGAAAATGAAATTTATAACAATAACCCTTCATGAAATCCATGAGCTCCCACCACAACTCTCCCCCACTTTTACCCAGATCTTGTCCCCGACTCCCCCAGCTTTCTCAAAATAGTAGGGAATTGGATGGTCACAGAAGGGGAACCAGGGCCGTTTAGCCTGCCTTTCCCCAGTATTTCAATCACTGATTCAAAGACCTAGCGTTGGTCTCGAAAGCCTCATTCATTTTGTGGTTGGGACAACTTAAATGCTTCTTCTCCCACAGAAATTCCCATTAGATCTTCAGGGGAGCTCTACTCTGGGCATTCCTATTTTCTGCATGTGAACAGTGGCCAGAAGAAGCAGGCGCTTCTCAACTGTGCCATCCACATTGGGGAATAGCCTACTTCCTGGAGGGGCTTGACATTTCAGAGAAAGACTTCCTGTTGACACTAAAGTTCTCTTTGGGTTTAGAGGAAGATGGTCAGGTCTTTTTAAAATGGGTATTTTAGAACTCTTTGTGGTATATTTTAGCTGAGCTTTTCATTTCTGCTGTTTTTATACATGGTCTGAAGAATGTTATAGGGAGGTTTAATGATCTTTACAGCAGCTGGCTTTATTCCATTATGTGATTTTAATGCAATATGGTTTGAGCTGCTTTTTGAGGTTCTTGTTGTGACTAAAAGGTGAGATGTAAAATTAAAAATAAATTGATAAATAGAATACATTTTCCTTGTCCTTTCCATGTCTTATGCAAATAGAATTTCCATCAGCTGAACCAAGAATATGTTGATGGCCCCTAGCAATGAAGTTAATTGCACTTGTTTGCATTATGTAATCTGGGTTTTCTTATTCTTCTTATCGTCATCATCATTTTCCCCTCAGACCTGCACTAAAACAGAAGCGTCCTAGGCAGCCTGCACACGTTACAGAAATGCATTCCTCTTTATTCCTGTCTTAATAACACTTTCCATTTTGTATATAGCACCTCTCATTTCTAAGCATGAAATGAAAGCAACCTTGTTAAATATAATAGCATAGTATAAAATGGGAAGGGTGCCATTTTGGGAAGCCATTGTATTAAAGTAAAATATTATCTTTTTTCTGTCAGTAAAACAGCTCTGCCTGTTTTCATAGAGGAAATAATCCAAATATCACAAGGATAGAGCGAATAAGTGGCTGAGCATAGTTGGGCAGAAATATCATGATTTACTGATAGGAAAAACTCAGAGGAATAAATGAGTAGTCAGCCTTGTTTGCTGTATTGAAGAAGAGGAATGTGATTCGAGAAGCAAAGGGGAAGTATTTTTCACAGGGTGAACAGGAACTTATATATAGAACTCCCTTCACAACAAATGACAAGAGCTGTCCATCTTATGCATTTCACATCCCTTTAAAATGTATTATAGAATGTCAGGGAATCATATTGGTGGGGGCATTTTCAGGTTCGGTTTATTGACAGATCATGAATAGCTAAGATTTCTTTTTGCTCATTGTCACAGAGGAACAGGCTTCAGCAGAAGCACAGTCAGTTGTGACTTCTGTTAGATAAATATCCTGTTTATACCGGCAGCAGAAGGAAAAGAGAAAACAGTGGCAGGCAAGCTTCTCTTCTTGGGCACACCCTCTGAACTAATTGTGTGATATTTGTAGCTAGCAGTACAAGACACAGCCTCTGTTTTCTGTCACCTGGAAGCCACAGCTATCAGTTTGGACCTTGTACAGCCAGCTTGATAAGAGAGAACTTGGAGGAGGGAAAGGGACATGACCAAGGTCTCACAGATCAGGATGTGCGACTCTGCAGTGGCCTCAGACACAGCCCGGGGACAAGGGAAATCGCTGTCACTCCCTTTCATTCTACACTGGAGTTTGTTGTGGGCAGAGCTGAGATAATGCCTCCCTCTCAGCATTTTTGTTCCCACACTCACAGAGCCAGCCATCCTGAGCTAAAGTTTCCTGAACAGATGGCTGTCCAGCCTCCTCTCGAAGATATGCAGTGAAGGAGCACAGCCCTTCTCCACTGGCAATCGCTTCCACTGCCGGAGCTGCCTTGCCCCTCTTCGCATCCTTTGTGAAGTGTCCTGCACGGCCCGGCCGCTCTCGTGACCATCACTTTAAGGAATCGAGGAGAGAGCAGCTGTGGCTCTGGAAAGACTTGCACATCTTTTCTGCTCACAAACAGGAAACCAGAGCCATCTCCTGGTTAATTAGCCCTTTCCTTTTCAATTAGCACATGTCTTTTAATTAGCAATGCCTAGCCCATAAGGTCATAAATGGGCCTTCCTGTCCATGTGCAGCTTGTGCGATTGGTGAGACAGGACAGGCAATCACCCCGGACAAATCATCATGTGATAAACTCCCCTGCCAATAATACCTCTAGGAGCTAATTTAGCTTCTCTGCATTCTTGGAGAGAGTCAGATACTTCCCAGGCTTGGCTTTAGACTAGGGAGACTTAGCTGATCCCAGAGGCTGGATCTGCCATTATAACACTTGCCCTGCTTGCTCGATCCACCGCTCAATCCTGTTCTATCCAGCGGTCATGTGAGAAACAACGCATGCTTGCTTGCTTGTCTAGCTTCACAAATAGCACTTCATGCTTTTTGCCACCCTGCTTATCTCTACCACATCATTTATATCGCATGCTCTGCAGCTTGGACTCATCGACAGTAAGAATTGGGGAGCTGTGGGTGCCAATCTGTCCACAGCCACCTCTTTTGGCTCCTTGCTTTTTGATCCCTTCCTTAACTGTTTGTTTCTAGGTTTTGGTTTTGTTTTTATAATTTTCCTTCCATTTTTTTAAACTGGAGGCTGTCCTTCTGCCCTCCCAGTACCTTCTTTACTTGTGTGCAAGACAGTATTTTTGTACTGATCTTGCACACAAATCTTAGATCTACAGATCTTAGGCTCCACCTCTGCTTTGAAATTTCTTTTCCTTTAGCAGTTGGCTTTTGGGAAATAAGTGTTCTGTGCCTGGTCATGCCTGCAGTGGCAGCCATTTTATTAACAGGCAAGGTGCCCCAAGCCAGCCATTTCAGGAGAATGCTTGTGTCTCTCTCAAACATCCAAATGTGTCCACCCACTCAAAAAGGTCGGGGATCTCTGGTATGAAGCATCATAGCCCCCCTTCCTTCTGGAATGCTGCAATTGTATTCAGCAAGAAACCTAGAAGTTGCCATCCAGGTCCAATCTCTGAGCTCTTAGGCAAAATAACTGGGCACCTTTTAGTCTTTTGTTACATTACCTCTTCTGATCATCCAAGGGTGCTGTGCACCAGTTCTGGAGCTAGTGGGTGATAGTTCTAGAGCCCCAGATCTTTGCTTTGGGGCCCTGGGTTTCTGGGAGGCCGTCTGCCCCACCACTCTGTCATCCACCATGTTCTCTTCTCTGCCTGGCTGCATCTTGCCAAGCCATGCATCCAAACTCCTATGAGAAAGTGCCTGAGATATTGTGAGAGCTTGCCCTGAAATCTTATGATATAGCAGTTGTGCCTTGTGAAGTCCCAGGCAACTTCTCATGATCTTTCAGATGTGAAAGACTGCAGGCATGCTGTAAACCATTCTGAGAGCGCTATGCTAATTTGAATGGTATATAAATACTTTGAATAAATAATAAAATGATGCAGCCAGAAAAGAAGAGGAACCTGATTCAGATTTGAGCTTCTGTATTGATTCTCTGTGGAACAGGAGTTGTTTCTGGACCAGGAAAATGTGCTCCCAAATAAGAACTATCCCATGACTGATTTCCTTGTTTCCTTTTTGCATGTTCTTGTACCTCACCTTTTTTTTTCTCTTGTATAGTTTGCTGGGAATTCAAGGACTGTTCTACCTCCTCTGCACTGAGCTCAGCATCATTGGTCATACTGGCTATCGGCTTCCACTGCTTGTGATCCCTTGGCCCCACTTCTCATGACTCATCCTCTGACCTGGCCCTGCATCATTTAGGCTTGCTATGCACTTTACATGTCAAGTATCTTCCTCAAACTGATTAGCACAGGTTAGTGAATTTGGCACAATTCATTTTACTTGAAAGTACCTGCCTGCATTTTCTGGTTCCATTATTATGTTCCATAACAGACACATCTTATCTTTCAATCTGTATTTGAGGTTTTGGTGTGAGTTTCTGACAAACCCAAAGGACAGTTCTCTGCCACTCACCTGGACCACCTGAGTCACATCACCAGACTTTACACCCCCAAGAAGTAAAAGGGCTGAGGGCCAACTGAGGCTTGACCAGCAGAAGACCAATAGTTTGGTTTGCCAGTCATAGGACTTTGAAACAAAGTGCTTGACAGCAGAAATGCGCTCATTGTTGACTCAGATCCTTTTTCCAAGGCAACCCAGTGCTAGGAATGTGAAAAGTGATGCATTTGGGGCCCTCTTAAAAAAACTTACTCATTGTGCCACAGCCTTTTGCAGGCCAAAGCCTGCTTTGATCAATGCATGAAGTGGTCACCTGAGTGCAGAGCTTTACATTTCCTGCGTTGACAGAGAGATGAAGAAAAACATATTTTTCCTCCCAGTAGGTGAGGCAAAAATGGCAAAAACTGCTGCAGCTTATAAAGGAACACAGAACCCAGGTAAAACAAGTGGATATGACTCACGGGGCCTAGGTCTTGTGTCTCAGGCCACTAAAAAGTTTTGCTTCTTAAACTGTGAGGTCTTGCATCATTTCGTCTTTCCTTCCTCCAGAATTTTCTCTTATGAGGCTGGTTGTGCAGGGTCCAAATTGATAGCATTTCGAGCATTATCCCATAGTGGGTACAACTAGAGGCAAAAGAAGTATGTTTGTGTGTGGGCAGGGATGGGGGGGTAAGGTAATACATACCAATGTTTTTTGGCTTAAGCCTTTTCCTGCCAGAAACTAAGCATTCAGAGAGTGCTTTCAACTTTTCAGAGTAGAAAAAAGCTGCACAGAAGGGATAGGATTGAAGGTTGGGGGGAAAGGGGAGACCATCTGCAGAACCCCAGAAAACTGGCTTAGAACCCCCCCCGATTTGACTCACCGGCCTCAGGGGCTGCACCCTGTCCTAAATAGTAGCTGCTGGTTTAGCCTGCGCAGGCAAAGGCTAACTGGGCCAAGGGGGCACATACAAACCTCCCCCCGGTTGACTCTGCTCCTTTGTTGATCGTCATGCACCATCCATGAAGCAGCAGGGGGTTAGCATGTTCGGTGGATGGATGCGCCTAGAAGCAACCTTCCAGGCAGGAACCCTGGTAGTCCTTAGCACGAAGCCCTTTAAGATAAGACTGTTAAAGGTCTGCATTGCTTGGGCATACTGAGCTGACATTTTCAGCCTCCGTCACTGTACCCTTTTCGCCTTCCCCTGTGCAGGCCGAGTGCCAGCACACAGCTTTTGAGGAGCAAAGTCAAAATGTAAGAGCCTTACTGGGACAATTACTTTCTGTAGCTGGCGAGCATTTTCCAGACGGTACAGAAGCCGAACCTCACTGTTTGGTGACTTTCTGTCTTTTTGTTTTTGAAGCACAGTGACAATAAGATCTGTCTAAGATATCTAAGTGCACTGATTTACACAGTAAATGAACAGCAGTGCAACAAACACATTTCACTTTTATCGATTAAGTTGTTTAGCCCTCATCTCAAATGGAAGCAATCACTTCAAGCATGCCCTTTTCAGAGGGAAGCTCTTAAAGATGCTTCTCGCATACCTTCCCCTCCCACTGAGGGAGGGATGAGGAAGATCTCACCGTTTGTTGCCACCCGCTCCTGCTCGCTTCGTCGTATCACCTTCACTCTGTGTAGAGCTGAGAGCGCTTCTTTATGTCGCACCAAGAGTTCAGCCTCAGGAGAAGGAAGCAGAAGACTGGGCTTACCTCATTTCTCCCCCTCTGAGATCACCATTTGGGGTGGATCGCAAGGGGAGGAGGTCCCACCAGCTTCCAGTGTGTGACTTGGATACCAACACGAATGTGTCTAGCCGTCTTTGCTCTGAAGTTCTGCCTTGGTTTATTTCCCAGCTTGTTATTCCACCCTTTTCTCAAGGGGCTTAGATTGGTATACTTTCTATCCCTCTCCGTCCTTGTGGCCAGCGCGAGAAGATCCACCTGGCCCAAAATGCACTTAAATGCAGGCTTATAGATCTCCAACTTGTTCCAGCCTCAAAAACGATCCCCTCACTCTGCCCTTTCCCCCAACACCCCTTGTGTGGCTTGTGTTTTTGTAAGCCAAAGACAGGGCTCTTTCGTTTTATATGAGCCAGTTCAGGAGACAAGAACAATCTAGAAAGCTGGAGAAGAATATAGTAAATGATATTAATTAAAATGTACAATTTGCAATTCTGTATATATGTTTAGGAGGTTTGCCCATTTTAATTTCTCTTTTTTTCTGGAGGTCTGGGGGTAGTCTCCCATTTTCCCAATAAGGGTAGGCCAGAGGTGATCAACTGCTGGAAGACTGGGGCCATTTTTACCTCTCATTCCCTTCACTTTTCTCATCGAAACAAGAAGAGGAAGAAGAGGTAAAAGGGTTTTTTTTAAAAATACATACTGGGTCTGAAGTGGCTACAGAATGCTGAAAGGGTCAAATGTAGCTTGCAAACAAACTATATATGATGGTTTTGGTAATGTGGAGCTTTTATGGATTTTTTTTGTTCTAAAAATCTCCCTCCTCAAATTTCAGGAGGGAAGACTGCAGGGTGAATAGCAGGCACAGGCTGCCTGTTGCCCACCCCTGACATAGGGCTTAGGGAAGGTAGTTTGCTGTATGGCACTTCAGGAGCTAGGTTTCTTTCATGTGCATAACAAGGAAGGTGGCTGTGAGGAGGTTTTTGGGTCTGCTGTGTAGCCCCTGGGAAGCAGGACCAACGGGAAAAATGCAAGTTGAGAGGGTTAAGTTCACTCCCCATGTTAGCCATGCCCAATGGACAGAACAAGCCTCATAAAGTCCTATGAAGTGAATTAGGCAAGCAAATAAACAAATCTATTATGTCAAAGCCTTGGTCCATCCAATCCACTGCTATGTACTCTGAGTGTCAGGAAGCTCTTCAGATGAGATGTTCACTCATTAGCCCTCATCACACATGCAATTTGTTTAGTACTTTATAGATGCATACTTTTTGCATGCAAAATGTCCATGGCAACTGCTAAGAAAGAAATATTCACATACTGCTTCCTTCAAAAGCAAGCAGCTAGGGATGTACGATGCTGGAAAATGTGTTCCATCTCAGCAAGACAGTTTTCCAATACCTTTCTGACCTGACAAGCAAAAGCAGGCTGATTCAGGGGTTCTTTTCCTGGCTTCTGTGAAAGTACTAAAAATATTTTGCCAAACTGGATGCCAAGAACTGCATATATCTAAAGCTATTTGCATAAATTGTGATTTGTGCAAATCAGGGCCGAGCCAAATGGGTTTGAGCTGCATTTAATATTACATAAACAAATTTGTTTACACTCAATATTTCTAATTTAAGATATGCGCTAATATCAGAGTCCATTACAACATGATTGCAAGATATTATCTATTTATTTAATTTTTTTATATCCCATGCTCTATCCCATCTCAGGATGGCTTACAAACATTAAAATAAACAATGAATAAATAATTAATACAAATATAAAGCAATATACTGCCAAAAAATAAATTAATTCAAAAGCGACTGATTAAAACTATTAAAAATACTAATGTTTAAAATAACCCTTAAATAAAAAGTTTTTGACCTGGCGCCAAAAAGAATATACGCTCGGTGCCAGGTGAACCTCCCCGGGGAGTGCATTCCAGTACTCCCAGATATATATAAAGTACTCCCAGAAATACATGACCACTTAGAATGTTTTCACATTGTTAATTTCAGATTTGAACAAATTTCAACTCCATTCCAGAATTTGTACAAATTTCTCTATCTTTTTTAAAGAAATGCACAAAATGCAGTATATTTTGAAAACAGAAGTCTCCATGCTGGTTTGAATCACATCAGATCGACTTGGTACCAGCGCAGGTATGACAGAATGGAATCTGGGATTCTGAGCTGAGAAAATCCATTGGATTGTCACTCCATTGTTTGAATCTAAGCACATCCCTACAAACAACATTTTACCAGAAGTCCCAGGAAAACAAATAGTTCTTCAAATAAAGGTTGAGTAGAGACACGATGTGTTTACTTTTCAGACAAAGGAACACTTGCTACTAAAGGAGAAAAAAGAAGGCGTAATGCTAGAAATTTGAAATCTACATAAAATAGTAAATATAAGAAGAAACTAGCGGAGAAGGAAAACAGCTCTCCTTTGTCTGTTGCCTCCCACTGGTTCAGGTGACTTAACACAAGTATTGTTGAATTACTCAATCTAGGGATGGGCAAACTAGTAATAGTCAAGATCATTAAGATTTTCCAAGCATTGTCTCATCACTTATCTAGGCCCAATTCATGATCACTGCTTGCTTTCTGTGAACAGGAAACTTGTGCAAATCCAGCAGTGAAGGGGAGATGTGCACAAATCTCCAAAAATAAATTTGGGAGACAAGAATCTATGTAGACTGAAGCAGGGCCAATGGAATCTACTGAGGAAATTTATTCTGATTAAGACATTTGTGCAAATTCAATTGGAAATTGGAAACAAAACAAAAACAAACCTACATTTGGCAATTTGCTAATATTGTCATTGTTTTTTTTCTCAAGCTTGGGACTTCATATAGCAGAAGAAAAAAGAAACTACTTAATTCCAACAACATGTTCTTTATGCATGGAGTAGGGCTGGACCAGCATCTGCACATGAACATGCAAATGCACTCTGATTTTGCTTCGGACACCTGTGCATTTTGTGGTGTGCTGGAAAACAGCCTACTCATGTACACCTATACGCCTGCCAACTTTCCACCCCTTAAGGAACTCGGATCACGCTGGCTCACCAATTGTACATGCTCTAATGTTGAAGGTTGCATTGAATGTTGGTGAAGGCAGAGCCTATATAGTCGTGGGGTGAGATCAGCAACACAGTCTGTCTTCCTTCCACATGTACAGGGTTTGCATGGAGAGCTAATGT